TTTGCTTATTAATAATGGGTTAATTTGTGATTCATTGATTTGTATAGAATTTTTATATTATTAATGTATTAAATATAAATTTAATTTTTTTACTCAATCTTGTTAGCATCAATTGGATATTAATAATATTGGTGTTCAAATTCAAAATTTTTAATTATCAAATTGAACTAATTAAACAATTAAACTAACTTATCGGTTTGGTAAAAAAATTAATGACCTTTAACTTGTTGGAGGTAACAGTAATTTCCTTAGATATTGTGATTTCTATATTACAAATGTTAGCAAATTAAGTGTTGAATTTTTTTTAGTGACCAAAGTTTGATATTTTTTATCATTTAAGTAAAAAAAAAGATTCTCGACGATTAAATAATAAAAAAAATTATAAAAAGGCAAGAGAAATTGAAAGATGCAATTCATCATTATTTGCTAATAAACCCAAAAAAATTTTGGCCTACTTGAATAATCTATGTGGGATTAACAAGTAACAACAATGCTAATTTGTCTGATCTAATATAACCAATAATTCTTTATTTCCACTTAATACCGACTTACTTTAGGGCTCAAATTTATAGTAAAAAAAAAAAAATCGTTTGCTTTGCTAGTTTGGATTCCATCATATGTTGTCATCAGTTGTCAGCAATAACAAATAAACACCCCAACGGTTTTTCTTTGAAGTTCCGCTCAACAACAGTGCAAGATCGTATGACCTTCTCATATCCTCCAAAATTGTCGGTCAATAGTGCTTTCATTGCGACAAGGCTAGTCGCTTTTTCGTGGTTGCTGCTTCGTAAGCAATAATACAATAATAATACATTAAAATCATATTTAATACATAAAATTATAATAAAATAAGATAAAATAATATTATTAATTAAATTAAATTAAATAATATTATTTTATTTTGTATTTAATATATGCAATAATTATGATAATATAATTTATTTATTTATCAAATTTATTTTTTAAAATTTATATAATTTAAATTATTGATATAATTTTTAAAGTTATAATTGGACATGTAAGTTTAATACTATGGATTAAAAATAATTCTTTTTACTTGGAGATATCACCTTAGATCATGTGTAATGCATAAGATTATTAATAGAATAGATAGGATAATAATTATCATTTATCATATTTAATTTGTATCTAAAAATAGGGATAAAGATTGTAAAGAAGATTAATATCATTTTGACATAGGATTATTTAATCATGTACAAATAAAAAAGATTATTTTTAATTCATGTGATTAAATTTATATGTCTAATTATACCTTTAAAAATTATATCAATAATTTAAATTGTATAAATTTTGATAAATGATAATTTTGATAAATAAATAAATAAATTATCTTATCATAATCTTTGAATACATCAAACATAAAATATGATGATATTATTTAATCTAATCATATTCGTAATATTATTTTATCATATCCTATCATAATCTCATGTATTAAACATGACATAAGTCTTATATTCTATATTTTGAGATCTTTATATCTTATATTTTGAAATTAGTTGTATGAAAGAATAAATATGAAAATCATGTTAAACTGTAATTTGAATCATCTTATGTCACTCATTTATATCAACAATAACCTTCTCATCTAATTCCTTAATCATTATATCATTTTTTATTACTTACATTCATATCTTTCGTATTCTACCTCTAAAAGTTATGGTTTTTTTGGATTTAGAGACTTAATTCCCTCAATCGATGTACAATTATATTTACATTTTACACATGTAAAATCATCTCAAACAATTCTCTCTCATTTTCTCTTCAATACAGACTACTCTTAAGCAATAATATAGGAATGAATTTTAAATTATAGCAAAATATTTAAGATAATTTATAAATTTAAAATTTTTTTAATATGATATTTAAATTATAAATTATTAATTAATGTAATACTTGAAAGATTATTTATTTATAATATGTTATTATTTAAAATTAATCATGTTAAATATGAATATTATATTAATTAACATGTTTATAATTTAAATATTATATTAAAAATTTTTAAAATTCAAATATCAAATTAAATATTTAACTATAGTTTAAAACTAGTCATAAGATTAACAATTTGTGGAATGTATTAACATAACTACAAACTCGCTTTATATATAATTACATTAACAATTTTTTATGTTTGAGAATCAACAAAATAAATTGATAAAATTTGATGAAATTAAAATTCAGTACTAAAATTTAATATTGCATCTCTAAAAAATACCTTCACATTCAATAATTTGAAATCATGATGGTCACATTAAAAACTTGTGTCCTAAGTATTTGATAGGATGGGTTTTGTCCTATATGAAACATGCACATGCAAAATGGAATTTGGACATGAAAACAATCAAATAAAATAAAAATAATTTGTTAATAAACATAAATAAAATCCCTTTAGTAGTACAAATCAAACAAGGATGGACCTGGTATCTAATTCTCGTACAACTTTGTTAGGTTCAATTTGTGGAGATGGTTAAAGCATATGGCAAAATTAATAAACTTTATATTTCCATTTTTTTTTTAATAAGGTAGTTATTGTCTTGTATTTTTCTACCTATCCAAGGAAGTTTGTACCAAAATTTATGCCCCCGACAGTAATGCCCTAATTGGCAGCAAAATATTCAGCTGCGTTGTCCTATCAATGGACCATGGAACTATAATAAGGACATAGAATTATAAACTTTCTTCTCTCTAAAATAAATAAAATTGATAAATAAAAATAAGTAAAATTTTTAGATTTCGCAAGTGATTTTAATGGTATGATATATGTACTTTGAAGTATATTAAAAAATCAAACATGTATCAATCTTTTAAATCTATTTGTAAAGTTTAAAAAATTTTATAAATAATGTATAAAAATAAATTCATATAAATAACATATGTTCTAAAAATAAATAATTGGTCATAAAATAAATAAATGATTGATAGTGACGAATGCTAAAATTTTATAATAAAAAATATCATATGATTTAAAAGAACGTGTATTATATATTAAATTTGTTTTTCTAACTACCCAAAAAAATAATAATTTTGTTAATAAAAGTAGTAAAAGATTTGGAAACAGTCATCTAAATGACGCTTTATGTTTAATTTTTAGTTAGGGAATAAAAATAAATTAAAATGTAACAATGAAACGCTAAAAAATTTATATGACCAAATGTCAGACATTAAATTTTTTATTTTAAAATTAATTATATTTTTTTATCACATATCATATTATTATTTTTATCTCTTCCCTTTCGAATTTGGTGTTGGGTCCAATTTAAGTAATGAATTGGTGCAAAAGAAATATCCTTATACACGTAAGCATAATACATTCTTTGTCATCAATGTGGGTTAAAGTGTTACATCTATATTACTTATAAAATTCATGATTGAGTTAACATCATAATCAAATGATTCTAACTCAATCAATCAAATGATTCTAACTCAATCAAGGATAATTGCAAAAAAATTAAATAAAATAAAAAATGCAAACGTCTTTTCGTTTAAATGTGATTCATTTTTAAATATTATTTCCTTCCAAACAATGCAAAAATAATAATAATAATAATAATAGAGAATGACGATTCCCTAACTCAAAAGAAAGATACAATCTCTATTGCAAAAGAAATAAAGAATGTTCATAAAGAGTAATTAAATAAAAAGGATAATATTGTCTTTCCAAAGTGGTGTTGTCCCATTTACAAATTAAATTGCACAGCAAAAAGAAAAAAAAAAAAAAAGTGAAAAAGCAAAGGCTATCGTGCGTGTGCATGTCCCCCGACAGCAGCGAGTAGGGTCAGTGGATGGATCAGTCCAAGAAAGAAAGTAAAAAAAAATGAAAGAAGTAACGTTAACTGACTCGACTGTCGACTCACCAATCACACTTTGTTTTTGGTAAATTAAATTCAAGTCCTTTGCCTCTCTCCATTTCTCAAATTCTTCCCGTACGTTTTACGTTACTGCTTAACAAAATTGCAATTATTATGTAGATCAAGAATTCAACATACAGATTGCTATAATTGTGAATAATTGAATGTCACCTTCTTTTGTCATCAAATCAGAGACCAACTATCAATCAAACCAACCAAGAAAAACATTAAAGCAAGATCCCAAAATAGGAAAAAGGAAAATTTTCGGTTTTATTATGCAATTAAATTAATATATTTGAATTCGCCAAAATTAATTCAATCGATAAAAGAAAAAAACCTTTTTTAACTAAGATTTAATCATTCTTAAAAATATTTCAAAAGTAAAATATTAAATGTGTGAAACTGATCTAAAAAAAATTCATTTTTAAGATTACTCGAAAGATGGATTAAATTTAAATAAAATATAAAGACATCTATGATTGTGTTGAAAAAAAAAAAAAACTTAAGATAGTTGATTAAGACAACTAATTTTAAATAAATTTAATATTTAATATTTATAATTTTTATTTTTGTACTGCGATTTTTTTGTTAAAAGTTATTGTAATTAATTTTTTAATACATATATTTTTTGATTGCATAAAAATATATTATTTTTCATCTCATAAATTTTATTTGTCTCAAATTTAAATAAAAATACTGTTTTTTATAATGCAATTTCAGTAATTGGTATTGTAGAAGATTTTAACCAGAAAACCTCAAAAATTTTTTGTTGTAAAATATTATAATCTCACCTTATCCCGACGAAAGAAGAAATAATTTCGTAATATTAATAATAATAAATGGACAAAAGAGGACATGAACGTTGTGCTTTAATTTTCACCATTGCATGGTCATCATCGTCCATTTACTTTGAAAAGGACCCTACAAATGCCAACGTTGATTCTCTGTTTCTAGATGTCATTCCTCTCCATAACTCCTCCACCTCAGTTAAAAAAAAATTAAAAATTCCATTTTCTAATGGAAAATTACCCCAAAAAGAGGTTTTAAAATTTTATTAAAAAATTGAAAAGTAAGAGAAAAAGGCTCCTGCTTATCTCAGCTACTTGGGCTGGGGGGGCATCCAGATCTTGCAGTAAAAAGAAGCTTCCCTGACTAAAATAGTCTAATGCTTCTCGCTCTTTTTCTTTTTTTTTTTTTCTTAAACAAAGATATATTTTTATTTTTCTCTCTTTTGGTGTTTTGCATTTTGTTTTTGCAAAGGCTCGAAGAGAGAAACGAAGTCCTCGCCCCAGACATGAATTTGGAGAAAGAAGAAAAGAACAGAAGATCTTCGACCCAGAAAAATTCACCATGAGAGCTTATCATTTGAGCCTCTTTTTCTTGTTACTATCATTGTTTACATCAACAACAATAAGTTCTTCTTCTTCTTCTTCTGTAACTCAAGATTTTATCATTCATAGAAGAATTCTACACCAACCATTGTTTCCAGTAGGTTCAGCTCCTCCTCCAGGCACTGACAATTCTTTACCTCCGCCTCCTCCTCCGGATAGTCCTGTTTTTCCGGATCCAAGTCAGCCATTCTTCCCTGAAGTTCCTTCAGGGCAGACCCCAGATCAGAATCAACAGACTACACCACCGGCTGCACCTACCAATGGCTCAATTCCAATCCCAACAGCAACACAACCAGCCAAACCAGCTAAAAAGGTTGCAATTGCAATATCTGTTGGGATTGTCTCATTGGGAATGTTATCAGGACTTGCTTTCTTTTTGTACCGGCACAGGGCTAAACACCCTGGAGAAACGCAGAAGCTTGTTGGAGGGAACTCGGAACGGTTCCAAGAAGACTCCAGGGTACCACCCTCGAGTTTTCTTTACATTGGAACCGTGGAGCCTAATAGGAGATCACCGAGTGAAGTGAATGAAGGAGCAAATGGTTCGCCTTATCATAAATTGAATTCAGTAAAGAGATCGGATCGGTATAGGCCGAGTCCAGAATTGCAACCATTGCCTCCATTGGCTAAGCCTCCTACACTTGAGAATACAACGGCTGCAATGTCATCTTCACCATCTTCTTCAGATGAAGAGAGTCAGGGGACAGCTTTTTTTACCCCTCAGGGCTCAATCATCAGCAACGAAGAAAGCTATTCTACTCCGGTTGCACGTCCGATTAATAGCAATTTGGTGACTCCGGTGAGGAATGAAATGAACGGGAATACTAATTCTATTCCTCGATCCAAAAGAACGTCTCCAAAATCAAGGCTTTTAGCTTCTTCCCCAGAAATGAAGCATGCTATTATACCTTCAATAAAGCAGCAGCAGCAGCAACATTCTCCTTCTCCTCCTCCTCCACCGCCACCATCGCTACCTCTTCAACAACCACTAGTAGTGGAGCCACATGAGACTCAAATATTTACTTATGCAAAAAGGCCAAAATTCTCCTCCCCACCACCACCTCCAAATATGGCACTACTTCGATCAATTAGCAACAATTCGTCTCCACAAAGAACAAAAGTTCCAATTCCAGTTCCACCTCCACCTCCACCCCCGCCACCGCCAACACCCCCTCCACCGGAATCAGCAGCGGTGGGACTGTCAATACCAAGGACAGTAAGGTCTTTGGAAAGCAATGTGTCTCCAAAACCTGCCCAAGTGTTGAAAAAGCAAGAATCCTGGACTCCAAGTCCCAAAAATTGTCCGGGGAGTGTGACTGGAGAATCCACAGAAGATGCTAATTTTAAGGGTGCCAGTTCTTCAGAGAAGACAGATGGGGATGACATGGATAGTGCAAAGCCCAAATTAAAGCCTTTGCACTGGGATAAAGTACGAGCAACCTCTGATAGAGCTACAGTGTGGGACCAGCTAAAATCAAGCTCATTTCAGTAAGTGATAAAACTTGTACGTTTCCTGACTGGGGATTAAGTTTCATTTACGATCTCTAATCTTGGGATTTTTTTTTTACTTGTTTGCAGATTGAATGAGGACATGATGGAGACTCTTTTTGGCTGCAATTCCACAAATTCAGTACCAAAGGAACCTATTAGAAGATCAGTTCTGCCTCCTGTTGAGCAGGAAAACAGAGTGTTGGATCCAAAGAAGTCACAGAACATTGCCATACTGTTGAGAGCATTGAATGTAACGCGAGATGAGGTGTCAGAGGCTCTTTTGGATGGTAAGTCATAAATATCATTCTCTTCCATTTTCTATCAGTAATCAGGTTTTAGTTATGCTGGAAAATTTGTCTGTCTTATTCTGCTGGGGGGCTTGAGGACTTAAAAGCCTAAACTTTATTGCTTTTCACTTCTCCCAAAGAAACATAGCAATTGGCAGCTTGCTGCTTGAGTCTCCATTTAAAGGCAAGCATCAAGACTGGAGTGAATTATAGTAAACCACGTTTTAGCAGTCCGGTGTCATTTGTTGATAGGTTATTGAGCTTAAACATATGGTCGCACACCCTGTGTAAAAATATGTTTCTGGCTCCTCAAATTTTGAAATCTGGGTTGCATCTCCAGCCCTTGTGCCGATGAAAGATTAAGAACAAAAATGTTAAATACATTAAAAAAAGAAATGAAAGTTGAAGAACTTAATTAAGAATTCATTATCGTTGCACTTAAAGAGATCACTTGTATCATGTAAGGCCACTTAAAAAAGGTTTATTGCCATGTATGGTCACTTGTATCATATATTAGTTCTCATCATGAAAAATAATACTTACTACTACTAATAATAATAATAATAACTTTGAAGGAAAGAAAAATAAAGGACTTAGTTAGATTGGACAGCCATGTTCTTCAAAGGCCTATATTCTATTCTCCACACCTTAAACCCTTTCATCAAGTAATTTTATCTTCAGGATCATTATACTGCTCATGCTCAAAGCTATCATATCCTACCTCTGCTTCTTTTGTTCTCTAGTGTCTCTGTTTTTCATTTAGATTAGTTCAAAATGTTTCTTCATTCCTTCTTTTTCCAGGAAAGGGCTATTGACTCATTTCAATTTCATTTATAAGGCTACTTTTGTTATGTCACTTCTGCTGTTGTCAGTTATATTTATGTTCTAATGCCTTATTGGCAGCAAACTGAATTTCTAGAAATTACTTGCACAAACCTATTTCAATTGCTTGCACTGATTTTAGAGGGTCACTCACAGCTATGACATTGAAATGGCTTCAAAAAAGTGACCTAATTGTCTTTGGTAATTGGATGATTATTTCAAGCCAGGCAGTTTCAAAGTTTCCCTGATAATTGTTTTCTAAAGTGACTATTACCTCAATAGAAAATGAAAGAAGGAACTGACGATCCTTGTTTCAAACTTGTTTGGAGATGCTACTAACAAAACAAAACTGAAAAACTGATGACCATTCTCTCAATTTATGATGAAAACCACGTAGACAACTGAGACTAAAGGAGCACCGAGCACGATTCACATCATATTTTCATCAGAAAAGCCTTACCAATTTATTGTTTCAACTATTCAAATCTATCTCTCGAAATTTAAAAATGTATATGTACATGAGTTGAAGTAGATAGGCATATCAAATAAGAAAACACCAGGAGTCTATGAGAAGAAATAAGCAGTCGAGCATAACTCCTATCTAAGTAAGCTGTATATGTAGAAATATATAGATAAAGGAAAGAAGATGAAAATTTTCTTTGAGATGCCAACTATGGGTCTCAATTTGCAAAAAATTGTCTATTCAAATCTTCAATATCAGTTTGCTAAATGACATGCTATTCTGTTTGAATTAACAGGTAACCCAGAAAGCTTAGGTGTTGAGCTTTTGGAGACTTTGGTAAAGATGGCTCCAACAAAGGAGGAAGAAATAAAACTTCGAGAATACAGTGGGGACATCTCGAAACTAGGATCTGCAGAAAGATTTCTCAAGACAGTACTCGATACCCCCTTTGCCTTCAGAAGAGTTGAAGCCATGCTCTATAGAGCCAACTTTGATACAGAAGTAAAATATTTAAGGAAGTCTTTTCAAACCCTTGAGGTATTAAAATTCATAAGGCTCAATTCTTTGTGATTTAAATGTTCTAAGACTTTTGCATAAAAAATTTCCAAAAACTCTCTGGTAAAGGCTCCTATAAAATCATTTCTCTCTATGTACTTTCAGGAAGCAAGTGAGGAATTGAAGAACAGCAGGTTATTCCTCAAACTCCTTGAAGCTGTTCTTAGGACAGGAAACAGGATGAATGTTGGCACCAATCGTGGTGATGCTAAAGCTTTTAAACTTGATACCCTTTTGAAACTTGTTGATATAAAGGGAACAGATGGGAAAACAACACTACTACACTTTGTGGTTCAGGAGATCATTAGATCTGAAGGTGCTGATACTAACTCTACAAATAGGAATCTTGAAAACAAAATGTCCTCCAACATTAAGGAGGATGATTTCCGGAAGCAAGGATTGCAGGTTGTGGCTGGGCTGAGCAGAGACCTCAGCAATGTCAAGAAGGCAGCAGGAATGGACTCTGATGTCCTAAGCAGTTATGTGTCAAAGCTTGAAATAGGACTTGAGAAGGTCAGACTGGTTTTACAATCTGAGAAGCCAGATATGCAGGGGAATTTCTTCAACTCGATGAAGATGTTTCTAAGAGATGCTGAAGAGGAGATTGCTAAGATCAAGGCAGATGAAAGAAAAGCTTTATTGCTTGTGAAAGAAGTTACTGAATACTTTCATGGGAATGCAGCAAAGGAAGAAGCTCATCCTTTCAGAATCTTCATGATTGTGAGGGATTTCCTGTCAATATTGGATCATGTCTGCAAGGAAGTGGGGCGAATGCAGGATAGAACAATGGTTGGTTCTGCAAGATCGTTCCGGATATCTGCAACTGCTTCACTACCAGTTCTTAGCAGGTACAATATGAGACAAGATGGAAGTTCTGATGATGAAAGCTTGTCTCCTTGAAGTTGTGTGAATACAGGTTCTAAGAAAATCAAATTAGCTCATATTCACATGGTAAGGCCCTTTTTCCTACTGAACCAACAGCAAACTTATGTCTCATTTTCCATTACAAGCATGCAAAAAGTATAATAAAGAAGAAATGAAAGCATAGCATATCAACTCAGTTTTCAGTTTACACGGAGACATACCTGTTGGCTGATGACGTACGCCCTTTGCCATAAGGAGAATCTCATTTTGCTCATTTTGTATAAGAATGGAAAGCCTTGTAGTGTCCATGTCACAGAACAGCTGTCATTAAAGAAGAAGATAGAAGAATAGACCAGAAAAGAGAAGGTAGAATAGACCAGAGAGAAAGAGGAGTGAGAACAGAGAATTTTGTGATATTTCATTCATGGCCTAATTTCGTTGCTATACTGTCCCTTTATAAGATTCAATTTCATCACATTGCTATTGCTTCTAATTACAAGGGTCCAATCAAAATTCTTCTTCTGGTAGTTACTAGAATTTTGAGCTAACTAATGGAATTCTGCCAGCTCAGCAACTGTTATGCCGGCCATTTGCATTCCTGCATCTTTCACCAACTCAGCTTCACTTTGCATTCTCGACTCCCTTTCATCACAATGATCCACCCGCCATTTTATCACATTCCACAGGCCAGAAACTTTGTAACAATAAGGATAGATTGTGGGAAAATTGAAGGGTACCATCATCTACATCCGGCAATGAAGTAGATGGCCAAATGAAGAACATGCTAGTCGAAAGAAACAAACAAGCATCATATATTTTTCTTTGTCTACTTCAACACACATGCAGTAGTTAAGATTCAGATTTCTACTTTAGATCAGAATATTCCAATACATTTTTGAGTAAATGAAGAATGTTTTTGTGATAAATATATTACTTTACGCCATGGTTTGCATTTATTTGATAATCACTAATAATATATCTAGTAGTTTTGGAACATTGCCTTGGTTTGAAATTTGGAACTATTTGTAATTCTGTAACTCAAGTTTTGGTTTTACTAGTTGATATAGAAAGATCACTTTTTGAGTAAAGCAATAAATGAAATGTTCTCAGCATGAAACTAAAACAGAAAATGATCACCCAGTGAATGTTAAAATGCCAGAATGAAGTAAAAAAACAGTTCCAAGATTTAAGGAAGATTTTTGTCATGTCACGGATTTTGCTACATTAGGATAAGGTAAGAACAAAGCTTTAAAGTGAAGTAAAAATTTATTACAACAACATACCCGAAGTAGTTTAAAAGCCCTGTTTGTGATGTCTTGTTTCCCCTCCATTGCCATTTTTGAAATGTTGGTGAGATGGCTTCAGGTGCTTTTTTTTTATTTTTCAGAAAGGGGTGACAAACATATCTAATACTTAATTTTGTAGAGAATGTGGAAAGAAAAGGCTGTCCACGTCGCATCCCATTTTTTCTTCATTCTTTTTTTTTTTTTAATTTAAAATTTTATTTTTTTATTAAATAAATTTTTTTAAAAATTAATAGATATATAGATAATAAAATAATTTGTATTTAATTGATTTTAATTTTTTAATATAATATAAATTTGCTTTTTAAAAAAAAGATCAAATCATCAAAGTTTTTTTTTAAATGAAATCGAGTTGAAAATAAATTTAAAATATTTCATCCCATCTCGAATGTTTTTTTTTATTTTTTTTATTTCCTAAAGCTTTGTTTTTTAGTTTTTTTTAACTGTTTTACTTTTACTTTTTATTAAATAAATTATATAATAAAAAATCAATTGAGATAGGTATAACAAAATAACTTATATTTGATATATGTCATTTTGTTTCAATTTAATTAGTGTATTTTTCTTTAATTTGAGGTAATTGAATTGAGTTTTTTTTTTTTTAAATTGAATTCGGATCAAAGTAAAATTTTGAGTATTATGTCTTATATTTAGTATATATAAAGATATATATTTTTATTATTTATTTAATTTTATAATTATTATATTATTAAAAATATTATTTGATATATTAATTTAATAAATTCACATGCAATTTCATTTAACTTTTATTGTCATTTTTTTGTTCTTAAAAATTTTATTTATTAAATAAATTTTATAAAAAAAAAATTTTAATTGATGTAAGGATGACAAAATAATTTATATTTTAATAAATTTTGATTCATCACGATCCAATCAATATGATTTTTTTAAAACAAAATTTATGTTAAAGTTTTTCTCTTTAAATAATTTAAGTCAAGTAGAGATTAATTTTAGGATACTCTATCTCCACCCCTCTTTTAGATATACAATAGAATATATTTTATTATTAATTTAATTTATATTTATATATATGTATTATATTAATAAGATATTATTTAATATTTTAATTTAATAAAAAATTATTTATATATGTAATTAAATTATAATTTATATTAAAAATAAATATATTTATATTTATCTATATATTACCATTCATTAAATTTTGATAAAATTTTTTTATTATTTTATATTTAAAATATAATTTTAAAAAATTAAAATTAATCCGTAACAAATCACGAATCTAATTCTAATGAAAATAAAACTGTAGGTTAGCATGGAAGGCAAAGTTCCGCTGAGGGAATGTCTTGTCGTACATACAAAATGCATTCAGGAAGCACAACTTCCACGTGGCAATTGTCCAATCGTGTGGAATTTTTTTCATCCGGATTCGGCTCAACTTAATTCGACTTTGAATAAAAAAATATATATTTGATTTCATTTTGAAAATTTATTACTTACTTTAAAAAATAAAATCCAAAACTTACAGAATGAAAAATTAATTTTCTTTAAAGGAATTTTTTACTATATAAATTAATGATAATCATTAGTTGAAAATATCAAAACTTAAATGAAATTTTCGAATACTTATTATCGTATTTTAGTGTAAATCTAAAATTTTTTATTTTGATTTTGTTTTTACATACAAATATGAAAGTGTACGGGACATGAGACACTTAAGTTTTGATTAGTAAGATTTTAAGATTTAAACTTTTATTCATTCGACGTTTTGGATCAATCTAATTGTCATAATTCATAATTTTGTGATTCATTATCAATTTTGATTTCTCTGATTTCACAGTTTTATTTTACAAAAAATATCTTACAAAAAAGAGATGATATGAATTTTTTTTATATCTCAGTGATCCTTATTTTATATTCGATGTGAGATTCAAAATTTTTCTATGATATATAAACATATGTATGCTCGTATATATATTTTTTATTTGACAAAAGAAAATATATACACTTATTATTATTGAATGGAATGCTTAATTGCATGTATATACATTTATAAATATAAACCATATGCATGTAAAAGCATCGCCAAGGTTGATGCTTGATAGAAAAAAGCCAAAAAAAAAAAAAAGAAAAAGAAAAGTTGATGCTTTGATTCTGTTTGTCCCCGTCCTCCATCTCTCCCCCTTTAATCCCCCAAAGAAAAAGAAAAAAAATTGGGCTTGAATACTAAAGTTGATACACTCATCTTTTTCATGCCTTTTGACGATGAAAACTTCTGTATCAGGTGGATTTCCCCAAAAGAATAATTGCTTTTGAATAGTTTGAAAGGGATTATTCATTTATGCATTTGCCATATGCTTCTGGTGTGAGATTGTCTATCGTGGATCCTCCAAACATCATTAGATATTGATGAGTGTGATATCATTATATTTTTCGTCAAAACAACCTGACAACAACTTCCAAATCAGTTGATTAAAACTAATTATGAAATAATTATTTCTTGGTAGTTTATATGTTTTTTTCATTCAAATCATATCATGTAATTTTTTTTTCACCAACGTTTTCAGCAATTTGGCAATATCCTGAATTCTGTTGGTTGTTAATGGAATTTGAGGACAAGAATGGTGGACCTCCATTAATTCTCTTTGTTCTCAATAGCTTTTCCACTAGCATTTTCCACTTGACCTCATCCTTCTTGCTTTGTTTCCTCATCTTCTCCTTGAAATTCCTGAAATGAAAGGTTGGATAAGTAACTGATTTATGCAGATTGAGATTAGATATTTCGGTGAACAAATTGACATCAAGCATGTCCTCAGAGTACAAGAACAATAGAGTGAAGTACCTGCATAAAGGAACTCTGCACGAACTTGAATCAGCACAGAGACGGGAGTGTAACTCCAGTAGCTGCCACATCCTTTTGCAATGAATGCAGCGGCCAGGGACTCTTAACTTGCAACCAGCAAAATGACGAATAAGCAATTCTAACCCTTTGCAGGCTCGATATCTGCAAGGTGTCTGGTCCCCTTTGAAATCCTTATCATGTGGACCAATTGTCCTGCAACCGTCTCTGCATATGTGAACAAGAGCCTCCATTGCTTCACATAATTGAAGATAGATCTTCCGCTCATTCATTTTTCTGATTTTCTCCTTTTGCATCTGGAAATATTGCATTTAACATTGACTTTAGAGTTTAAGATCAAAGTGCCAGTACCAAAGGGAAACAGCCTCACAAAGAAATCTCTTACATTTTCTTCATCAATCATGGATTCCAGAAGTTCTTTTTTGAGTGCTGGATGGCTCTTCTTCATTGCCTTCCATCCTTCAGTTGAAGAAACAGCCTTGAAGTTCCTTAAGATCATACGATGGCTAATCAGCGTGAGCCGAGGTGCATCACACAGTAATGAAAGCTGGAAGACATCAACTACATTTTCTAGAGTAAGCAAAACATGCTCTAGTTGCTGTTCACAAATTCGCTTCAACTGAGGAACAACATATGCGTGTGACAGCACCAACAAGGGCAGTGCAAATTCCTTCATATCTTCTTTCTCATAACTACAAATCAAAACCAATAACAATTAGCACATAGTAGCATGATGCAACCACAAGATCTCAGTGGCAGTAATTTCTTCCCAAAATGCCAAGATAACTAGTAGTTTCCACATGCTTTACTGGTTCACAAAACTGTGTTAGACAAAACCTCCATGAGAAAAGAGTAGTTACCAGGAAGAGTACAAGAACCGGATGAAAACCCGAACTGCATCATGCGGAACACCATTGATTGAAATTGATTTCTTTTGACCGAAGCCTTTTGCTTGTTTCAAAATGCCTCTAATAACAGGAGAAGCCATGCCCTGTTGGCAAATATCCCGGATAGAGTCAATAATTTGTTTAAGATACCATCTCAACATTGCTAAACAGTCTTTACTTATTGCTCTATTTTCTTAAACATTTAAGCACTTGGCAACTTGATCCCAAAAAGATACAGAGAGAAAGGGGCCAAAGTGGCTTCGTATTTTGCAGGTTTGGCTAAAATGATAAAAACATGCCACTAAACTAAACCCGGAGTTTAGCTCAATTACTTCATATAGCTGCCCTTAAGAGGTAGCATTAGCAAATCTAGGGTTTGAGTTCCAGTACTTGCAATCTTTTTGCTATCTCCAGGCTACGGCCTCTTTTGGAAAAAAAAAAATGCTACTGACTAGGATGAATCATCCTCTGCGGTCTAAAACTTCGATATACAACCAAATTATGTCGTTAAGACGCCCAAAAGTGATCAATGTGAAGACTTGAGATTGTTCAACTAGTCTTATTACCAAGGAAAGAGACAATAAAAATGAAAAATAAAAATTTTATGCTGTTGGGCTATTCCACAAAGCATCACATCCATTAATTTCATCACATTTAAACAAGCTTTTACTATGATTAAAACAGAGATGGAAATACAGGGAGGGCTTACAAGAACATTAGCATGTGCATAGATGATGCCACCATTATCGGTTTTAATGGTAACATCTGCCCTATAGCCTCCATCAAAGAGGCTATCCCACAAATCCCTCGTGGCTGTGGAGACACAGCTGTTTCCTCTTGTTGTCGATCCATTTTTCAGCATAAATAACCCCTTCGGCCGACAATTTGCAGCTGGACCTGGTAATGGAGGTGGCGCAGGAAAAACGTCATTGGCACCTAGAGGGGATTCCTTTGTAATAATTTCCATCTTTCCCATTAGCTTCCCTCTTTGAAGGAATCCAAGAACAACCAAACCCAGTGTTCTTTTTTTTTTTTTTTTCTCTTTTATATCTGAAAAGGATAGAAATAGAAGAAGTTTGATAAGTAACAAAAAATCAAAAGTTCTCATTTGCCACAATATGCATAGATAGAATGCTTTGAAAAAATTGGAATGATGTAAGAATTGCTGTTTTCCTTTGAATTTACTGATATGTACCAAAAAAGAAAATCTAACAAATTCCATAGCCAAAACTATCTAAGAATTCATGAAATTCAAACATTTAAAAAGAAAATGGGAATTCAAATAAATTTTCACCTTCAATCTAATCAAAACTATCTGATATTTGGAAATGCAAAATCAAAAAGAAGAAATTAACTCGTTTCCTTCTACAATTCTCTATGAAATCCCACAGAAAAATGAAAGAGAGACAGATGAATAACATACCTTTTTGTTCTTTCCTTGGGCTTCTCTTCTCAACGTAATTGTTCCATGGAAAAGAGCAAGAAAAGAAAAAAAAAATCGGAAATGGCGAAGATTTATTCCTTAGCGGCTTGAAATCCTCAAAATAAACAACCTTCAAAATTAACCACCGCCAGATTCTGTTCCTACAAACAATCAAAGTTGGCAACACCAAGCTCCAGCGCCACCTCCACCAGCTCGGGTGCCAGAGGTTAGAGAAAGAAACAAAGAAAGTCACAGAGAAAAAACAGCCGACGAATTAGAAATTCAATATTTTCTTTATCCAAAAAAAAAAACCAATTCTTTAAAAAATCTGTTATTGTCTAAAACTACTCTGTTCCGATCAAACCAAATTGTCTGTCAGCAAAGCCCCTCCCTATAAATAACGTGCATGATTTCGCCTACTTACTTCCATGTCATTTTCCTGCCCATTCCTCACGCGCTTAATTTCCCGCGTTTTATCTCATCTCTTTTACACGAAATTATATTTTATATTTTTATATTAATAAAAATTATAATACAATTTTTATATAAAATATAATATAAATATAATGATACGAATTATTAGATCTCTATAAACGATTTTAGATAAATTTTTTTACAGCTAATTGTTTCCTGTCCGGCAAAATGGGCGGTCGGGCGCTGCCATTTTGTTTTGTTTTTGCTTTTATTAGCTGGAGTGCTGGACGGCGTGAGGGGAATTATCATTTGTTTTAGTATAGACAAGGATATTTTGCCACCATTTTTTTTTTTTGTGTTTGATTTAGACCTATTTGTTTGTTTTGGTTTTCCTCAATCAATGTCGGGGAAATTTCGGTAAAATTAATTTATGTGCGGAGGAAAGTTTGGGTACGAAACTTGACACACTAATGAGGGGTTGATGGATATTTCTTTTACAAAATATACCGTAATATAAAATTTTTAAAAATTAAAATAATTATAATATATATTAATTTTTAAAAATAATTATTTGAATTAAAATTTTAATTTAATTGATTCATGCTTTACCATCAAATAAATGAAGATGCATTAAATATTAAAGATAATAATTAAATTTATGGAAATAAGTTTTATGACTCAAATCAAAATATAAATTGGTGTAGCTCCGGAACCAATAATAGTAGTAATAGTAATTCTTTAGGGTGGCAATTGACCTACACAATTGAAACCTTTAATTAATCATAATTAATTAGATTTAATAACTGGAACCAGTAACAGGATTCTGAGAACAGTGGACATAAATGTGACAGACTGCACGTGGCCGAAGATTTGAGATGAAACAAATCTTAGGGTCAAACAAAAATTTAATTGCTTCGTAGTAATAATTTTTCAACACCATTTGGTTCCTTGGACCATCCCCACTAAAGACAGGAAATTCATCCATTCAAAGGCGGGGGATAAAGTTGAAAAATCAGATTTTCCTTGTCAGCCATTATCAGTTGTTATAGTTTGTATGACAAAGAAAAAACTATGGAGAAAGCAACAGTATCTGTTTAGGCTCAGCCCGGAAAGTTGTAATTTTCAAACTTGATTCAGGGCTGAAAATATTTGATTGGGCTTCATTGAAGGCTCAATGGCCTAGACATGATCATAGCTGCCTGACTGGACCATAATAAATGGTGTTAAGGCCCAAAAACAGGTTGATACCCTTTTTTTAATTCGAACAAAAAATTTTTAGATCATATTTAATATGCAATATATGATAAAATAAGATAATATTATAAATAAGATTAAATTAAATAATATTATTTTATTTTATATTTGATATGTGTGAAGATTAAAATAAAATTATTTATTAATCAAAATTTATATAATTTAAATTATTAATATAATTTTTAAGGGTGTAATTGAATATATAAGTTTAATCTTATGAATTAAAAATAATTATCTTCACTTGATAAATATTAAATAATTTTATACCAAGATGATATTGATTCACCTTGTAATTCCTATTATTCTCTTTAAATACAAATCAAATATAATATAAAATAATTATTATTTTATTCTATCAGTAATCTTATGCATCAAACATAATTTTAATGTGTTAGATTGATGTGTTAAAAAATTATTTGACGCAATTGTTTGTAAACTTAAATCAAGTAACTGAAGCACAAAAGAATATTGACCCATTCTTCAAATTCCATGCTCATTGGTAAAGCAAGTAAAAAAAATGATGCTTGATGAGGTTTTGTACTTTTATAAAGGATAATTATGAATTCGGCAATGGTTTTATACAACTATATTGGTTTTTTCATGTGTGATCATAATAATTGGTAGAGTATACAAGAAATAACTGTAATGTCTTTGATATCAATAGACTAACTGGCCATTTCATAAAGGGGAGTTATAAATGTACCCTTGTGTTTTGCTCTATATGTTCTCACTTTTTTTTTTTTTTAAATTTTTGTAAGTAAAAACACTTAAATATCTCTCTTACAAATTTTTAGATATTCATAATTTTAAAGAAGTTATAACATTTTTCAAAAATAAATTTTTAAGAAATCATAATACTTATTGAAAATTTATTTTCAAAAAATCATAATACTTTTTAAAAATACTTTTTTGAAAAATCATAACATTTCTTGAAAATATATTTTTAAAAAATCATAATATTTCTTGAAAATGTATTTGGAAAAGTGAAATTTTATAAAAAAATTATAAAAAAGAGAATGTTGTTAAAAATATTTATAAATTAGTGTAATGAAAAAGGTTATAATTAAAAATAATAAATTTTAAAATTAATAAAAACAATACTTTTACTGTTTTAATTTTAAAATAGTACAACATCCCTAAATATTATGACTATATGTTTGCTGGGAATTTTTATGATGTTTAAAAGAGTAAAAAAATTAGAAAAAAATCATCATTGCCAAGTCTCCAACCTAATATGAATTTGACGATCAGTGAGAAAGGTGTTGAAAGAATTAAAATTAATTAAAAATTAAAAATTTTCTCGACCAACATTATATGCTTATAAATATTACATAATTTTTATCAAAATTTAATATATTAATTGAAAAAACTAATAATGATAGGTAGATATAGATATTCATCTAAGAAATTTGATTTAATTAAAACTTTTATAATATTTTAAAAATCAATAAAAAATATTCATTATTCTTTCTCTAATAATAATTTTTTTTTCATTACTATATTTACAAATAATTTTAATAATTTTTTTATTTTTATAAAATTTCTCTTATTACATTTTTAGAAATATATTTTCCAAAAATATTATGATTTCTTAAAAAAATATTTTTGAAAAATGTTATGCTTTAAATTTGTGAAAAAAAAATTTAATAATTTTACTTACAAAATTAAAAAAAAAAATAAAGATGTATAACAAAAAACAATGATTAAAATAGAGGTCCCCTCTCATGAAAAAAAAAAAAAACTGAAAAAGACACGGTATTGGAACCACGATTTTCCCGAGAAATTGTTAGTAGAAGAACTTTTAAAAATCACAAATCAATCAAAATTATTGTTGATTATCTTTGAGTTCCAATCAATTTTGGGTCAAAAAATTTTTTTTTAGCAAGTCTCTGGAAGCGTTGCCACCTATTTTGGAAGAGTCTAGCGCTACACGATCATCAAAAGCATTTGTAAGAGTTATACACTTGGTTCAATGATAACCATTCCTTATAAAAAATCTTATACCATAAGTACTTGGTTTAAATATAAAAAGAGAGTCGCATCTTTCAAATACTTTCTATGTTTCAGAGTGCCTTCATAAATTTAAGGATTTCATTAATCTTCGTAACACTTTTACTCAACCAAATAATAGGTTGACTTGAGTATATTTAAGTACAAAACCCCGCTTAAGACTACATAGTGTGATGATCTTAAATTTTAAAATCATAATGTCTCTTATTAGAAAAAATTTACATATTTTAATTATAAAATCAATCAATCAATTTAATAAAATTTTAACTAATTAAAACGTTTAATATATCATAAATATCATCTTAATTTTTTATAATTTTTTTTTTTTATTATTTAGTATGTTAAGAGAATTGCAGTGAAACTATTCAAAGAACACTTACTAGAATTAAAAGGAAAAAAATGATAAATGATTCTAGTATTTTACTAGTATTAGGTTTTGACTATCATTTCAATAACAGCATGAATCATTTAATTTTTTTGATAAAAAAAAATAGAGAGACAGAGTTTTTGACAATAACGAAAGATGCCACTAATTTTCTTGGATATAAATTTTTTTAATCTTATGCAGCTATCTTATAATAATATTATAATTTTTAAAACCATTTATCGATCAATTTAATAATATTAAATTAATAATTAAAATATTATTAACTTAAATTATATATAACTTTTCAATCGCATACAGTAATTTTAAAATGGTATCATAATTTTTAAATTTATTTTAATCAATTTAATATAAAGTAATATTTAACAAATTATTAACTTGAATTATTATATCATGTTTTGTTTGTTTAGATTATTTAAATCCTATTGAATGGATTTTCAATATTTGTTTCGATTTTATTTTTTAATTTTATAGTCTCATAGTGGAAGGGAATCAGTAAATCTTGATAGTGTAGTCCCTCCTTACTGAAAAAAAGGGGATTATTGGAGTCTTAAATTATACTAGACATCGAGAGTCTTTAATTAATTAATAAATGATTGTAAAAGGTTTGAAAGTTATTTTGTATACATATTGATGAAAGTTTTTGAGTGTTCAGACATCCGATCAATATTAGATTAGATGAATAATATGTTTTTACTTAATAAGGGACACCAATAGAAAGAAAAGATCTTATTATTGTTATATATTTATTATTATTATATATGAGTAACATTCTTTTGATATTTTCAAAAATATTATTGTGTATTTTGCTTGTACTTAATGATTCTTGATTTTACTAAAATTCATATAAAAATTTGTTATAAGCGAATTTATTGAAGTATTTGATTATTTTTTTTCTAAAAGTTTTTCTATAATTTTTATTAATACAAAAATAACTAACTTTTGAGTTTCAAATATCTATTTGTAACATTCTTTGATCCATTTATTTCAAAGAGATTCGGTGATGAAAACTTTTCTCAATTCTGTAAACAATAGCTAGATGAGATTTTTTGTTGATAAGGTTTTTTGTTTACGATTTTTTATTGCTATTTCTTTTATATTATTTATGTTAATATAAAATAAAAAATTAAAAAATTATAAGCAACTTGATTGTTGTCGGTGACATATTTGTCATTGTCAAGTAAGATATCAAAATTTTTTATAGCAAATTATCAATTTAAGAATAAAGTAAAAATAAAGTAATTCAAAAAATAGAGTTAATACTTAGCACTTCAAAGTGAAAGACGAATCAATCACACTATACACACAAATTTTGTGTCCGAAAATCTA